TATATACACACAGCTGTAGCAGTGGTGAAAATATTGTAAAGGTCACAACCACACTATATAACCATATCGACTGACTTTGATAAGTGGATAGAGAGGAGTAGAGCATCAACAGATGAGATAGGAGGAAAGATAGAGAAAAGAGAAAGAAATAGAAAGACTGAAAGAAGAATGAGAGCATGAAGCACAAACCCAAAAAGAGAAAGAAGAAAAGGAGAGAGAAGAGAGACAGGAAATAGAGATAATAAGAGCACAAATTGAGATCACCAAGCTCACCCAATAGAAAAACAAAGGACCCAAGAATGACAATGGGGTCAAGACTAGCTGACCCAAACAGTCCAAATTTGATGAACAGAAAGACAACATGGAAGCTTTCCTGCAGAGGTATGAAAGATTTGCACAAAGTAAGAACTGGGTCAAAGGCCAATAAACAGTCTGTCTCAGCCCTCTTCTCACAGGAAAAGGCATATAAGTGTATGTGGGCATGACATCAAGAGATGACATGGACTATGACAAGTTAAAAGAGTCCTTGCTGAAACGCTATAAACTTAAAGAAAACTTTCGATGGAAGATCAGAGAAGTCAAACATGACACTGGAAAAACAGTATTTCAGTTTTTGTCATGTCAAAGGCAATACTTCACAAGATGGACTGACATGGCCAAGTGTGAAGCTAGTTTTGAAGGACTGTCAGATCTATTAACAAATCTGACATGTCACTGTTCCTCAAGTAGAAGTCAAGAAACAAAAGAGAGAAGAGATGCTATGCTTCTTACAAAATGGGGCACAATACGAGTGAGTGCAAGTCTGTCACTAACAAACAGCAGCAGAAATCTCAACATAAAGAAGCTGGAGCTACCCACAAAAAATGATGATGGAAAGAAACAACAAAAGAATGTGTCACCATGCGTGCTGCTACCAGAAGAAATAGAATGAAGACAACTTGTCAGTCTCACCACAAGAAAGATGTGCTATCACCATGATTAACCCTACAAATATGAGCTGGGTGGAATCTACCCACTTCATAACCACAAAAGTATCCATGAAAGTAATTGTAGTATAATTTTTGATAATGTACACGAATATGTACAAAACTTTGCAGTTTATTAGTAAACATTACAAGAATTTCGTACACGAAATATCAGGATTTTAAGTATTAAGATTTCTTTATTAAAAATTTGCTCATGAATTGTTTCTTTCTGAATGTTTACTATCCTATGTGCAAAGTAATTTTAATTTTATGATTAATAATATTTTTCTTTATCTGAAATTTGTCAATTTTCATTTGTGTAATCTCTATATCCTTCTAGATAATCATCAAATGTTTCTTCGATAAAACTATATTTAATCTGTAATTTGAACAATGCTAGCTCTATATGGTGTTGGTCGATTTGACCAACCTCATAATCATCATAAAAATGAGTAATTAAATATAAATTATCTTTTTTTTTCCTTCTAGAATAGCTGTAAATTGTAACAGGAAACCACAAATGTTTATTCTAAATAGCTTAAATTTCATAACAATATACATCTATTTTTATATATTAACTTTGTTTTATTGACCTTTGGACTGTGTCTGACAAAAATACCCTGACACAAATTGAAAATTACACTGCGCATGTGCAGCTCACGTTACCGTATGGAATAACATAATGCACAAGCTGCTGGTGAATGTATCCTATCAAGATTTTTATTATTTTTCTTTCATTATTTTACCTAATAAGTTTCTATTTTTATTATTTTACTTACTTTTATAATAATAAATAGTGAAAACAAATGAAAAATAAAAAAACCTCATCATAAATATCAATTCTATTTTTATTTTTAGTAAAGCTTTATATTTTATTTGTTTTTTTCTTTACTGCAACATTATAGTTGATTCTACCAGGTTGTAGGTAAGTAATCAAAGTATAATGAAAATAAAGGTTCTAAATGCAAAATAAAATGTATGGTACTGTTAGTGTTGATCACAAAATTTCAAAGTACTTATGGTCAGAGTTTACACACTTATTTTCTGTAGTTATTTTACTGCTAGCAGATGGCTTAGAAACTAGAAGAAACAAAATAGTACTTTGTTATTTTCAGTACAAACAGCAGGAGAGTTTTTTCTAATATTTTTTACACCTACTTTATTTATTCTATTGTTAGCAGCTGAAGCAGAAATCTGCCAAATTTAAAGCAATTAATCACTGTTCCTGTTTAGATGCTACCATACTTTGACACCGTCAACATCAAATAAGCTCATATGGCACAAATCCCAGAACTTTCCCTGCTTTGAAAACACAGTTGGGTATGATTTATCAACTTATTGACAGTATAATGGTTACAATGACAATTGTCTAAGGTATTATAAAAAGTTTATTTTATGACTTTGTAAAAAGCCTGGGCTGATTCAATAAGTCGATATGTTGAAGTATCCTATAGAAACTATTTGACTCGCGGCTCCAATAACACAGTGAGGTAGAATTTGCCAGCTTCTCTACAGTATGGTGGTTGCAAAAAAAACTGTCTAAAGTACTTTATAAAAATGATAGAAAATATTTATGATATGGCTCTGTACAAAGTTGTATCCAATCCAATAAACTTGGGTGGTTGGGATTTAGTGGTAATATAAATGTGAAAGTGCTTATGAACATCCCGTTTCCTATTTTACCATGCTTACACAATAACCAATAAATGCACAGCTTCCAAAATTTTCTAAGGTACAACGAGGTTTCAGTTACCATACATTACCTATGTATATATATATTATTGCTATTTACAAATAAATATTTAAATTTCATTTATTTTTCTTAAAACATAGAACAGTATATAAAACATATTCAGAAAACAATGATCTTTACTACTTATGATGTTTTGAAGTTCATGAGTCGTACTTGCTAACCCTCTTAGATCTTACAGGGGTATCAGGGACAGAACCCCACACCTGGATTAAAGATTCTAAAGTTTGATAATCGAGAAATGGAAGATCTGAATGATGGTACGCCAAAGTTTAATTATCTGAGGTATGAGGCTGATGAGGCATGCTGACCACAGAATATAACTGTGCCACAAACCAGTCAGCATGGACCCAAATATCTGGAGGAGAATGGAAAACCAGGTAGTCAGGGGAAAGGGCAAAATGTAAAAGTGAAGGAGAGGAATCATAAGACACAGACAAGAAGTAAAATACCTGTGACATCATATCCAGAAAGGCTGAAGACAGTCTGGGGGTGTCGATAGGGGGTTTAAAAGATTGCATGGCAAAGGAAGGTGGAAAGAGGCTATCCAAATCATCATCTTCTTGTCCAGGTTCACCACAAAAAGGAATAACTGGTCTTGAAATAAGAGACACTACAGGCCACATAATTGACTCCAATTCATGACGTATTAAAATGGAGACTTCCTCAGCCAAGAGTGTGGAGACTGAAGCCTGGGAAACTGCAAGTTGAGGTGCAGTAGTAGTGTTAGCTCCTGTAGTAGTAGCCATAATTTGAAATTCAGAATTTATAACTCAACTGAGAGTGGATAACAAAACTAGCAACCAACAGTAACTCAAGTTTAACTAGTAAAAAAAAAAAGAAGAAATAATGAAGCTGTGGAAAAAAAAATCAAAATCAAACATGTCTTTACACTACTGTGCCAAATCAAGAAGTGAAGATTGAGCTCTACAGTACAGAGGGAGCCACTTGAGTCATGATGGTGTGTTGCACTCCTATTGGTGGAGGGTTTTCATATGATTATTTGTATGCTACAACACAGCTAAACCATGTTAAATAAGTGGGGTAGGTGGGAAACATATTACGTGAGAGGAGGTAAGGTATCGTATTGGATTTAGTGTTTCATTGGCCTTTAAAATGTGTTAGCCAATAATCTCACCAAACTAGTTGTAAATCACTTGGCATATGTGTAGCTCATGTTACCCTATCAAATTACATAACTCATGGACTACTCACAAGTTGCTCACAAGCATACCTCACGAAAAACTTTTATTATTACTATTTATTTTACCTAATCTAAAAAGTTTATACTTTTTACAGTTTAGTTTATTTTATAATAATAAATAAAGAATACACATGAAAAACAAGAAATATAGTACTTACCAAGATCTTCTTTTCTTTTACTGTTGACTGTTCATGAAATTAACCCTACTCTTTATACTAATAGTACTAATGCACTAAATAAAGTACCAAAAAAAAACAAAATAATAACTCACAAAAAATAGACAATGTCCTGTAACTATCATAATTTTTCTGGCTTTGCAGCTATATGACAAAAGCCATTAAAAATTCAGCTAAGCTTGTCAATGTGTTTCTTGTGACAATAAAGTTTGAAATGGAAGCAAAATAGACAATTCTCTGTACAGAAAACAACATAATATAATATGCCAATTGATAAATTAAAACTTTGGCTTTCTACTGAATATAAATAATATAGTATTAAACATCAAAGAGAACTATGGAAATTTCTGAAAGAAAGGATGTGACAGGTGTGCATGGAACTTGGACTGATTTTCTTGTTTATGGCTCTGTAACCAAATAAAATTGCAAACTATAAAGATTATGCTTTGCCTGAGTAATATTATAATGAGTAATTTACATAAAATTTCATACTTCTCCAAAGGGTGGTGAATAAATTAAGAGAAGAGGGGATACCTAGAGAGAAATTGTCACAGTTCTTGTACTAGGGGAAATTGAGAATTTTTTTTAAATATTGCCTTCTAAAATTAAGAACTTCAATCTTATTACTAGCTATGTTTTGAGTCCAAGTTTATTTGCATACCATGATAATACAGTAGTTTAATTAAATTTTGAATATGATGCATAGAACCTTGTGACATGTGCAGACAAGAATACTGGTATGGAAAGAGTTTACAGTAATTACACAGTGAGCTGAAAAACATGTTATTTTTCAGTTATCCTATTTACTTTACATTAAATCACCACAAACTTACAAAAACAGTATAAAAACGATCCTTTGGAAACACCCTTGAAAAATATAAAGCCCAATAAGATGAAAAACTTACAGCTTTTTCTGTATTCTCTAACATTTCATGTTTATTCATTCGAACAAAATCTGCAACCCTATCTTGAGGCAAAAATTGACACAGGTTACCAACTTGAATGTTCAGCTCCATCACAAGATTCTCTACCTGAAAAATTAAACAAAACAATGTTTTAATATTCTTAATTAATCTGCTAAAAGAAACTAGACCTTATTCTCTAAATCTTTGATTGCAAGCAATAAATTTAAAATCTAAAAGTCAATGAAGCCTACAAATGAATATGTACAAATATGTTTGTTTTGTTTTAGGGTGTAGTCATATTGAGCCATCTGCTGTGTCCACCATGGGGAATCGAACCCCAAATATTAGAAATGCAAGTCTGTAAGCTTATGGGGAATCAAACCCCAAATATTAGAATTGTGAGTTTGTAAACTTATCGTGTCCCATTGGAGGGTGTACAATTATGAATCATACTATTAATAAATTTTACTGTTAGTAGATAATCCCAACAAAATAAAAATAAAATAAAATAATAACACTGGTAAGATTATGAAAAATTCTTGACATTCTTTCTGAATTATTTTCACCAGTCTGGTGGAATATGCATTTTAACACTCCTGAAAACATTCTGTTTTAATTGATTTCTAGTTAATAGTACTTCATCTTAAAACTACTAAATAACTAATAAAAAATATAAATTTTTCTCAATTTTTGGGCATACGTTCTACATGTAAACAGGATGTGGAGAAGTCATAAACTTGTGCTAATCCTGTACCTTAGATAAATGCAACATTCCACAAGAATTATTCTGTTAGGATTATACTTTCTTGGCACTGTTTCTGTGTCATGTCTTTCTAGAGTGAGGACATATTCCTATTTCAATGGGTGGTAAACAGATTTATATAAGTTAGTATGAGTTGGGGTTCACCTCCCTTGATTATGTATAATGAAGATGATCAACTTGTAGTTAAGTTAGGATTATAGGACACAACACTAGAACTTTTCTCTAACTTGAAAGGTGTGGTTGTAACTATTACTCTGTCTTTGTCTGCAGTTATATGATGAACAGTTAAGCCACTTTCCAAAAGCAGTACTGGTTGTATGAACACAGATTTTACTTGTACTCTTATGTTTGCTAATTTTCCATTGCAGTTTGTGCTTAAAATGTTTCTCTGTATATCATTTCCAAACCTGTCGTATTGCAGATATTTACAAGTTTATGTTAGACATCAAGCATAGTTGTACACCACAACAGTAACACATTACTTTTCTAACTAATTTTCACATAGTAATGGTGTTCCTGAATTCTGAAGCTTTTGACTATATTAAAGTCATCATCAGGCAAAATAATTTAATTTCAAAATAAGCATAATATAACAGACATAAACTTATGGCTCACAATATAAATAGTAGTGGTGTCTGTTAACTCTGGTGCTTTCAATTTTACTAGTCATCAAGCAAATTAACTAATTTGAAAATAAGCTGTAGTTTATGTAGCTTAAATGTAAATTTAAGCATTATTACATTTTTATTTGTGAATTAGAATAAATAATTATTACAAAATGACAAAATATCAATACTAAAATATTATCAGTTAAAAATTTATTGAAATTGTTAGATATATTATTTTTACAAACATTTTGAAATCTACTATGCAGGTGTACATTTGACACATGAAACCTACTCACCAGTTGTGATAGGATTGAGTAAGTGGTGTCACTGAATTCTGAAGATTTTTAACTCAGTAATCATCATCAAGCAAAATAACTAAAATAACTTAATTTCAAAATAAGTATACATTGGCATGGAAATAACTTTAGGGCTTACAATTTAAGCTCCACAATTCAGTAACATCACTACAGTACCCTTTGCGTTAGGCACCTATGACATACATTTATTTTCACATACATGTACAAATTACATTTCTAAATGATTTTTCACATACTGTATACTTTCTCTAGGTTACTTCCACATGTTCGTATATATTACCTTTTTAAAGCAATTTCAGATTAACTTACATATAACTTTACAAGCCATTTTCACACAAATGTACATATTAACTTACTAAAGGATTTTCACATTACTGTACCTACATCTTGAAATCAACAGCTGGCAATTGAAAAATTCCTGTTAATTCTGTTAGCATACTTAATAATTTAATTTGATCCAAAAGTTTGTTTTCAGGCAAAAATTGACATATAACTGTTAATAAAATGTGTTTTTAATTAAAACCTCCAACCTATATACAATTTTTTTAAAGTTAGTCTTAAAATCATATCATGAACAAGTTATCTGTGTGCATCAGAACCACGTGTTTAGGTAAAACCATTAAAAAATGAATTTTTTCCGTAGCTTCTTTTTCTTCACAATAATCAGAAAACTGGAAAGTTATTACAGTAAAAGCTTTATCATGTGGCATCTGCTAGACCTGAGCAGTGTCAGATAGGTTAAAATTCCAGTAATGAAAGCATTTCCCTTACAGTATTTTACAGGAAACATTTTCAACACCTTGTTTATGTTCTAAAGTACAGTATTTCTACATCATCTATAAGAATAATATATGTTGTGAAAAACCTTAAACTGTATAAAATCTTTCATAAGTATAACATTTTAAGTACAATATATTGGCAGCTAACAACTGAAGATTGCCAGTGAAAAAAAGAGAATAAACAAAGCCACAATGACACCACAAAGCAGCAGCATCAGTTAACTACAGTCACAAATTTACAAGAAGCTTTGGAAGTATTTCAAGATAATCCAGATGGAATTGTAATGAATGTCAGTTCCTACAATGAGCGTTTGTATTTGGAGATATTGAAATTTCTGGTTACAGGAGCTTTCCAGATGTAAAGATGCTGGATAACAAAGACTTTACTGTTTCAGACTTTTAGTCACACAAATTGTATATTGTACATTCACTTCCATATACAGTAGCTTTGGAAGCCTTAATTGTTTCCTGTTGTTCAAAAATAGTTTAGCTCATAGTGCTCAGATAATAACAATTTAGGTGGTATAAACATTATGAGGTTTCCTTGTGTAACTGGTACACATCTTCATAAATTTCACCTTTCAATATAGGCTGTATTATCTATATGAGCTTTTAAACAACATTACATTACCACAATATGTTTTAGGACAATACCACATATACATTGACATGAATGGTGAATCTACATCTTCAACCAAGAGTGCAAAAGCAACTGTTATTTCAAAAAGTACAATATTAAGATAATAACACAGTTAAAGTTTATTATATTACTCTTTAAGGAAGAAAATTTTTTGAGTTTGAAAATTTGATACGAAGGCAGTTAAACATGTAGTTTCATACATAAAAGGCACAGGTACCATTAAGGAACACAATATGTCACGAGCATTAGATATTATAATTAAACAAAACAGTCACACCAAAAGCATAAACTTCCCCCAAAATACTCGCTGAACTATTTTGACACAAAAATGTATACAGATGTAAGGTCTATCATAACAGCTTCTTAATAACATTACATCACCATAATATGTTTTAGGGCAATACCATGTTTAAGTGGACATGAATAGTGAATTTATATCTTCAACCAATAGTGTAATAACAGTTACCATTGAAATGATGTTTTTGCCTTTAGAAGCATACAGTTGAATGTAAATACAAGATAATTTACATGTAAAATTAGAATGCCACTGGAACACTATTTGCATTAGAAAATATGATAACAAATTACTTATGGGCAAAGAAAAAATTTCATTTTATGTTTTTTCACTATCAAATGTCAAAAATTGGCAAAGGTTATAAGCAAAGCTACATGGGAATTGGAGATTGTACAAATGCAAAAACCACCTTCAAAAAGCAAGTAAAAAAAAGAAAGTGAAGTGAGGAAGAACTTGACAACATGGAAGAAGAGGGTGGCAAATGGACCAGCATCAATAAATACTCTGCTTGCAGTGATAAAATTAAATAAATGGATGATCTATGAACATGAAAATAGGTTACTCTTGGAGAAAAACCTATCCATTACCCATCTTGCAAGGGACTGAACAAAAGCCACATGTGAAGATATAGATTTGGATCATCAAGATGAATGAACGTCCATGGCTGACATAAAAAGGGACTCCTTATACTAAAAAGATAAGAGGCTCCAGGATCACAAGGAGGCAGAGGAGCATAAATTGTGACTGAGCTGGAACAAAAAGGGGCAATGAAAGGAAGCTAGAAAGGGCTGCTGTGAAATACAGACAACTCTCTGGGACACAGAAAGAAGGTGAACCAATCCAGACACAAAAGGAATATAGTCAGAGCCAAAGAATATGGAACTTGTGAACCAAAAAGTAGAATTATCGATAAGAAGACCCCCCAGAGTGGAAACAAAAGCAGTAAAACATCAGGGGGATGCAAAGAATACTCTGTCAGAAGGATTCAGTTCATGAGAGATAGCCATTTTGCCACTAAATTCAAAGCTCCTAAAACAATGAAGGTCAAAAACTAGATGTTCTGTCACAAGTCCAAAAGTTGAGCTTAAGAACCAGAAAGCAGAGGCCTCAAGAGTGAGTACCTCCTTTTCAGCTGATGTACGAGACAACAATGGAATTGTCAAAATAGAACAAATCAGAATGTCCAGACAACTGTAAAAAAATGTGGTGGCAGGCTTATAGAGGTACACAAAACTCAAGGACACAGATGTGGAAGGACCACTCTCCAGGCAACTGAACATTAGAAATGGTGAAGGTATCCAGAATCACAACCCACCCAGCTATAAAAGCATCTGTGAAGGGGTGTAAGTCTGGCAGGGTAGGAAAAGATAGATGCTTAGAGTTGTGTGGAAATACTTGTGCCACCACAACAGTAGCAGGTAGACAGACGGAAGTAGAGAAACAAGAGTAGACAGCTTATGGCAGGGTAAATTTCACTGATTGCCAGAAACCGTTAATGGACACATCCAAAGAAAAAAGAAATGAGAGAGGCCTGAGACCTTGAAACAGACAAAATCTAAGGTATAGGAAGAAAAGAAACCTTTTAAAACCAAAAGCTCCATATCTCAGAAATGTAGAGGAGAAGAATGAGCCCAACCAGCACATGAGGTGGTTAAGATTCTCAAAGGAATCAGATACTGAATTGGAGTCAAAACTAACTCAGAAGTCTGACCAGTCAACCCAAA